CCCCAAAACCCCAAAACCCCATAACTCTATATTCTTTACAATAGTCATAAATTAAAAACTCAGAAATTAGAATTATTTTTTTTAAACATAAAATGGGATTTAAAATTTTAGTTTCATTTCTTACTTTGACTTATCTAACAATAGGAGATGGAGAGACTAAAGAGAAATAATTCAACTATTGCCCCAAAATATATTGTAATCAATGATTGATCACAAACTCCTAAGAAAATGCTTGCATTTCATCTACTCTAGTTGAAAATATGATTTATCTTAATCAAACTACTTCGACATACAAAATTACACCTCCTGCTACTGAGGGCGAAATATTCAAAATACAGATTAATTCCTGTGTTAATGATCATGTTTATTCTGAGTCTAATACACTTATGTACGAGGAAGTCTTGTTAAAGTAGAATAGAAGTCTTGAAGAAATTAAAGTACCATTTGCAACCTGCGATATAAGTCAATTCATTTTCCCAGATGAAAAAGACATAGCTAATTTCGATGTATATCCAGATTCTGCAATCTAAGGAGTATTTGAAGCTAAATGTACAGATAAATACTCTTATTTAAATAGGAATTTAGCGCCTGGATAAGTTTGTGAAAATGATTGGTAATGCGTGTCTAGTAATTGCAATGAATTTAGATGTCAAGGACATGAAGAAGGATTATTATGTCAAAGTGATAAATAATGTGAAAAGGGTCTTTTTTGTGATAGTTCCACCAATACTTGTGCAAAACTGAAGGCAGATAATGAGATCTGCTACAAAGATGAAATGTGCTTGATAGGCTCTATATGTGCAAATTCGATTATTCTAATATAATAAAGCCAAAATGGAGTGTCAACCTTAATTCCTTCAGTAAATCTGAATTAAAAAAAATGCCAAAAAATGTTTAGTTTGAAAGTCGGTGAGTATGCATAAACGAAGGAGTTATGCCAAACTGGCATCATAAAAAATTTAGTGTGCAGGAACATTACCTCAGTTACATATGATGGGAAAATAATAGAAGAACCATTTAAATGCATAGCTAATAGCAGTACTCAGTGTATTTACTCGGGACCATCATTAACAAATGTAAATTTGAATGAGACTATTCAATCTCACTCTTGTAAATGTGTGATGGATGGAAATAATACAAATGGTGTCTGCTAATATCCTTTAAAACATCATAAACAAGCTGAGATATCCTTACTCTTATTCTAAGATCATTTATAGCATTGTCACACTTCCTAAAGAGGTGATATTTCTTCTTGGTTATCATGCTTTACTGAAAAAAGAGAGGGATAATTCAGGTAGAGTTTATAAAGTTATCTTGATTTATAAACTGAGATGACTCACTGGAATATTCTGCATAATGATGAGGGTAGTTAATGCCTTAAATATATCAATTAATATGATTATAGGAATTTCAAGCTTTTGTCTCAAAGAATTACATTTAGGCAATTGCTTGTATTAATTTATTTAGTTTTGTTATTAATTTAATTCTGATTAGCACGGGGTTTTGGGGTTTTGGGGTTTTGGGG